GTTGCAACAAAAAATATATTCTTTGGAAGGTTTAAATTGTATTTAGAAGAAGACAGAATGATGAACAACACAAAACCAATTCTAAAACTCCTTCAAACTTACAAAATCCTCAACGTTATATCACTCGGGGTTCCGGCACATGAGCAGAAGAGACCAGAGAAATTTGACAATTTCGATTTGCATTTTAACACCTTTGAAAAAATAAATTCAGTCAAATTCAATAACAATATTTGTGTTCAAATGTTATATATAACATTTTGTATAACAAAATTCAATCAAATTAAGTTTTTTAAAAAATGATTTTTAATAATAATGTTTATTTATTTATTTATTTATAAAAATGGACAAGAAACTTGAATTATTGTAAGAAATGAGTTTTTTAGGTAGAGTGTCAAGTCACGATAAAGATGGTGAAATTAGAAGACTTGAAACGGAATTGAAAAGCAAACAAAAGGAAATTGACACACTTGACAAAGACAAACAAAATTATTTAGATGATATTAAACAATTACAAAAAACACAAGTATCACATGAAAAAACAATTGATGAAAAAAACAAAGAAATTCAAAAAAATCAAAATAATTTGATAAAAACGAAAGATGATTTAATGGAGAGTAATAATTTAGTTGAGCAGTTGAAAAAAGAAATTAAAAAACTAAAAGAAGATAATTATTCTTGGTCTATTTTTTAAATGAAATAAAAAAGTGATTGAAAAACAGAAAGAAGAGATCGAAAATCTCAAGTCTCAACTTCAATATGAAAAAGACCGAGCTGATGATCTTGATAAAGTTTTAACATGTAAAATAAACAAATTGAAAACTGAAAAAGTGCAATTAGAAGAAAAAGACAAAACACTTGTAATGAGAAACGAAAACCTTGAAGAAAAATTTAAACAACATCAAAACAGTTGTAAAAGTTTTGTGGAAAGTTTAAATGTAATCATTCAAAAAATGAAAAACGAAATCACTCAAATCACAAACGAAAAAAATAAATTGGAAAAGAATAACTCGGATTTGGCTTTAGAAAATATAAATTTATGGAAAGAATTTAATGACTTGATTTATAAAAGTGCACAACAACAAAATAAAGAAAAAGCGTGGAAGAAGAATTTAAAAATTTCAAACAATCAACAACTCGAAAATTCAAAGAATAAAGAAGAAAAAATAGCATCACTTGTAAATGATAATAAAGATTTGATAAAGAAACAGATATTAAAACAAGTCGAAGAATTAGAAATAACTAAATATAAACTCCGGACAC